TGAAGGAAGCTAGAGTCATTAATTAAATATAAAGAAGAAACTCAGGCTTCTGTTAAACTGCAGAAAGCCAAAAGATAGTGAAATACATAGACATGGCAGGACATAATGCTTCTAATTGGTAAGACTAAGCATCTACAAAGAAGTATATTTTCACCTCATAAACCTGGCCAACTTCATAATCAGAAAACAAAACTGTAGGTGGATTGGCAAGAAACACAGGAACAAATGAGGTAACTCTGAAAGATAAAAAAAAAAGGAGGCATTGTCTTACTGCCTGGTTCTGTAAATACTGATAAAATGAGAAATTGTAGAATGCATCCCTTGGCAAAACCAAAATGTCATACAGACGTACGTTGCTTCCTAAGAGACCATACAGACATTTTGCTCAAAATATCTACATACAAATCCACAGCAATTCTATAGCGGAGCTCTCTGTGCGCTCCAGCTCAGAAACAAGAAACTGTATATACTGCATACCCTTTATTATCTTCTGCTTTTCTTCTGGCAATGATTTGCTCCACCTTTTCTTGAGAAAGGACACGAGATTTGCCTCCATGAAGAGCATTTGGTGGGAATAAGTGGGGGTTCTTCAAGTAGTTCTGTCTTTTCTGAAGTCTGGCAGGGTAAGCACGTGCACTTTCTTCCTCTGCTTTGTACTTACTGTCTTTCCAGGCTGATTTCTGTGAGGCATTGGTTTTCTTTGAAAAACAGAGAGACCATGGCGCAAAATTAAAGACAATTTTGAAGACAATTAAAAAGGTATACGTACATGTCTAATTAGAGCTATACAGCATTGAAAGTTCATATAGAAACATTGTATTTCTCTTTTCTTAACAGATCAAATACAGTAAGTACTGGAGCCAAATCAACGATGCGGTGATATTCACTCTTTCTTACAGGAACGGCAATAGTCCCTACTGTTCTGACAGACTAAAGAAAATGAATCTGTAAAATGTACCTTACTTGTCCTTTTAATCTGATGCTTCTTGTCTGGAGTTGAAGGCAGAGTTAATGTGGATAAAGACACATTTTGCAGACTGCCAGATATTTGCCGTAGGTGTGCAAACTCTGCACGCAGCTGGTCCAGTGAGACTGAAGGAGCACGCTGTTTAAAACTAAATGTCTCTTTGAGGTAGCCAGGTTCTGATTTTCCTACAATTCAAAGAAAAAATAAATTTTATAATGGAAAAACAGAATTGGAAACGTTTATTCTAAGTATAGGTGTGTGAATTTATATTAGTCTTGTTGATGGTAAAATACACTTTAAGTCACCTAGAATTTAATTTACATTTATAATTTTAAACAAATGAAGCTTAGTGCTTTAGTAAGAAAGCTTTTACAAATAAACATTAAACAAGTTATATACAAAGAAAGTTACTCTCAGAAAGATACGTTAATCTTACAAGCGAGTGGGCCTTAGAATGTCCTGTCCAGTTTATAGAAAGATCTATATGATGGAATTATGACCGTCAGAAAATAGACATAAATGGGATGTACCATCTAGTCCCAAGTTCTGATAGTTAGACAGCAAAAATGCCACCTCAGAGGAGGCTGTGAGATGTTAGATTTTTGCCTTTGTTTGGAATTACAAGGGAAAAAAACTTCATAAATGTTGGAATTTGTCAATACATTGATTACTCTGAAATGTTTGTTTTGACTTCACTGAAAAAAAATCATGTTAATACCATACTAAAACCTTTCATCTTGGCTCACACATGAGTAAAAGAAGTAAAGAAGTCTTGACATCACCTAAAAGATTTTTCTTACTGATCTTCATTTAGAAATTAAGCTGATATATTTCCTGAACTGGAAAATTCAGTTGGACTTGATGATCTCAGAGGTTTCTTCCAACCGTAATGATTCTGTGATTCTACATTTCTATGATTCTATGGTTTCAAACCCAACATACAGAATACAATTTTATTTCACTGAAAATAGTTCTTACTTTAATGTAACCACTTCTCTTCCCTGTATACAAGATGTAGACGCAGCTTTGTGCTCATGAAATTGAATAGAAACAGAGCAGCCACAACTAATACAGTCAGAAGAACTGTAAACAAATGTGCGACCACCATTAAATTCCATGTTTAAGCACATTTAAACTCAATAATCCATTGATTCCAGAGGAGAAGAATTTTTAATTTATCAATTTTATTTTGAGAATGTCCCTTTAGTGATAGTTTATGCTCCTAATACTAGAGTTCCTTCTGCTTTGGCAGAAAACTATAAAACTACTCAGATCTGCTATATCTTCCAATGCTTTAATTCTCATAGAGTGTTTAAAGTCTGAATTATTCTCTGCTCTAAAAGTTACCTTTCGGTGCTCTAGTGACGGGTAATTTATCAGTGATGTAATCATCAGGGCAGGTTAAATGATTTTCTCTGAGAAGTTCATTATCCACAATCCACCTAAAAGGGGATGCCACTGCAACAGTAAAACAAACAAGCAAGCAATTTTTATTTAAAAGGAATGCAAAAGCTTAGCCCTTTAAGATACACTATCTTGATCAGTCCAGAATACTGTTGTCTTTATAACTCTGCCAGGTAATATTTTTTGATAGCGAAACAGTCTGGTATTTTAATCCCAAGATTTGGACATGCATCTCCACAATTGTAAATTCAGTTCAAACCCAGCTATCAGAGATTCGTTGCTGCTATATATCAATGTGTGTATGCTTGTAATAGAGTTAGGTGGTAAGCCATTAATTGCAAATATAATACCTTGAAAATGACCTGGTAGTTTAGTTTCTCACAGTGTTAAACAGATGTCACTGTACTTGAAGCTCTGCACAAAATCCTTCAACGTTGCTCTATTGATGTAACGCCAAACTAAAAGTTCACTGAGTGTCAGTCCTACCAGTGATTCAGACAAATGTTGCATTGGTCTCCAGGTACCATAAGCATGTACTGGGGAGAGGCAGTGTTTCCAGAATCCTCACCTGTTGGCAATCCCAGTTTGTGGAAATCTTCCCCCACATCTGCCTTCTGCAGTTTTAGGACCCTTTGTTCTTCAGCTTTCGCTCGATTCTGGGCCCAAATTATGTTCTCTTCTGCTCTGTCAGCTTCTGTCAGTCGGCACTTATACTCAGCGAGAAGCTGTCACAGGCATGGATGAATGTAGAGAAATTAGTGTAGTTTGAGCTGTCACAAATTATTAGAGATATCCTTGCAAATAATTGTTTCCTTTGAGAGGTAAATAGAGATAGCCTGGTAAAACATAATTGCTTTACAAGCATAAACTGTTAAACCACCATCATTTCTGTCATTTAACTTGTGCTGGGTAAGGAGCATTACCCAAGAAAAACATGTGAAAGATGAGGAGACCCTCTCAGGACAAGAGAAATGTCTGTCTTTTACCTTCTGTGGGACAGTAGCTCTGCACTGTATTTTGCCTATAAGCATAGGAATAAATTTAAAGTGAATGTTCCCTCCTAGTAACTAGGAAGGTTTCTAAAACTCAAAAATATCCCAAGAGTGATACTTCACTCCTCCTGATGTATTCTGGATCACTCTGGCCAGTGTGGTAAGTGCTTTTACAAGCACAACTCACAAAGAAAAATCCTCAGAGAGGTATCAATGCACATTAAAGAGAGAATAGATCAGAGGTACAGAGACATACAAGATCAACACCAGAAGAAACTGATAGACATTGATCTCACGAGCATATCCAGCCTCACTGAGCTTTCTGAAGAACTTTTATGTAACAAGGCTTAATTTTTTGGTTCATTTAATAGGATTTTTTTTAATTTTTATTTTTTGTTAAATAGAAAGCATAGGATGCATCTCAGCTAAAATGAGATTATTTCTCCTGCCCAGTCTGTTCTGGGATCCCTCCACTGTCACTGGACTCCAGGATACAATTCCACCCCATGCCAAAGTTGATACCTAAAACAGATCGGATGGATTGTGCCCTAAAAGTATCTGTTTTTTTAGTTTTCTTTTTTTTTTTCCTGATGATACAGAGAGCATTAAATTACCAGTTCAACTGTAATGTGCATGTTACAGACATGGACTGTCAGTTGAAATGAATCTTATCCAAGCAGTCCATTTTGGGAGTAAGTATTCGGAACATACCGTGTCCACCAATAAATTACTCAAAAGAAACACAAAACTTCAGTTTCTTTAGCTCTGATAAACTTTGAGAGGGTATAATGACACAAAATGTGAAAAAATAGCTGTTGCTCAAATCATTCAGCAATAGCCTTTACTTTTATACAGTGGAAATAGCTATCAGAGCAATGATTGATGTAAGTATTTTGCATTTCTATGGTTGATTTCACCCACGATTCCCAAACAGCATTGCAAATGCTAATGGATTATGTGTCACATTGCACCACTAAGGCAAGCATATATACATGATATCTGCAGCATCTGGCTTCAAAATTAACACATAAGAATACTTTATTGCAAGATAGGAAATCCAGTACACTGGCCAGCAGGTACAGGGGGTTGTCAGCCAGTAGAACAGGCATTTAGAGGGTTACTGGCTTTACTGGTTTTACTCTGTGTCTGAAAAGCCACCCAGAGCTGAGACTATCATGAAGGAGCATGTGGTGAATATTAACTTATATGAAAGATTCTGTGGGAAACTGTGCTCAAGTAAATTTCCATTAAAATGTCAGATCTAAGATCCCCCTTCACCCACTTTTATTTTATTTTACAGAAGAACTAGAAACTATGAAGTAGCAAGGAAAGCTGAACGGAGCTTGAAACTCTGACTTCATTTCAACTTGTACCTTCTGTAGCTCCTCTGTAAAGCTCTCATGATAAACATCATCTCCTCCTTTGGACTTGATCCAACTTGTCTCTATGTCCTCCCCGAAAACTTCTCCAGTGTACAGGTCCTCAAAGACGCTAGCCAGCAAGTGGGAGATGTCCTGAGGAAAGGAAACAAGGCAGGGCTGTGTATGGGGCTGTGTGAGTAGGGGCGTGCGTGTGTGTGTGTGAGGGAGATATAAGCCCTGTACAGGGAGCGTGTGGATGTGTGGGTAGGGGGCTGTGCGGTGGTGGTATCTGCGTTACCTGGGTGCCGGGGGAGATGCTCTGCGGAGCCATGGTGAGCCAGGCACTGAGGTCGCCCCGGCCGGTCCAGTCCCCTCGGCCTCCCACCGCCACCCTCGGCCTCTCGCCTCAGCCCGGCCGCGCCGTTGCTACGCGACCGTGTGGGCGGGA